TTTCCCTCAGAAGAAACCCTGTGACAGCCCTGGGTAGAAATTAACTTTTGAATACGGTAGTCCAACGGACTCCCTGCCCTCAAAAAGAGGGAGTCCGCAGCAAAATGAGGGAGTCCGCAGTCTGAAGTTCAAAATTAAAGATATTAGCAATAACGCATGTGCTTATTTTTAAGATTCATGCGGTTGCACGTCTGCCAAATTTTCTTGGGATTTTTACTGAAAAAATACGGTAATTCCGCGAGGCCGTGCTCTTGAACGAACTAGTTAGAATGGCAGAATTTTCAGGGAGTCACACGGACTCCTGCATATGTCAAATCGGGGAGTCCGATAGTAAATCAGGGAGCATTTGACTCCGGACTCCCGTTAATTTCGCACCCTGTATATATATATATATATATATATACACACCTTCAGGCATATGCTGAAAAGGCATTTGCTGAACCAATTCCAAGACGCGTCGGAGCGACAGCAGTTATTATCATATTAGAAGGTTACTTGCAGTGTAAGTAGAGCAAAGGAAGCTGAGTCATTTTCGGTAAAAGCGTCACAGATTCAGTCTACACCATTGCGAGACATGATGCTGAGATGCACGTTTAGTGACCGTAGTAAATAGCATAGCAGCTGAGCATTTAGAATACACACCGAGACGGCACTTGATTGAAGCGCTATCTCATTCAGAACGTTGTTCGACATCGAGGCCATACTCCTGTACGTTCTTCGTGGAACTACTTTCTCGTTTGCTAATGTTGAAAGCGAACGTAAGCATGGGAGCGTTCGAGGAACATCTCTATCACGTATTCGCTGCCTGCGACGAGCAGAAGACCGGATACATCGACCGAAGCACATTTCGGCGACTCTGCGATCCGGTCCGGATGACGGACGACGAGTTTGATTTCATTTTCTGCGATCTGGACGCGGATAAAGATGGCCGCATCAGCATACAAGAGTTCGTCTGCGGCTTTCGCTCGGTTCCGTATCTCACCTCGCGAACGACGACAGCCCGTGGAGCATTATCGTCGTCGTCGTCGTCGTCGTCGTCGTCGTCGTCGTCGTCGTCGTCGTCATCGTCGCCATCGCCGCCGTCGTCGGAGAGATGTTGCCGCGACGTGACAAGGTCGCTCGAAGGTCACCGCAGTCTGTGCCTTACCGACGACTCGGGGATGGACGCTAACGATGGAGATGAGATGCCGACCGACATGAGCGACGACCAGACGACTCCACGCATGGCGACACGTTACCGTCGGCTCAGCGACGAAGCGCACTCACGCACCAACATCGTGCCAGACAGCCGTACGCTTGATATCGCCGTGACGGGCATTAGCACTGCCGGTGCACGGTCAAGCAATGCGCGGGACGCGCGGCAGTTCGCTCGATCAGAGCGACCATGTAGCACGAACAGCACCGCGCCGTCACACGCCCATTCTTCGTCACCACGAGACACGGCCGAAGCCGACGGAGAGCGAGCTGAACGGAGAACGCCATGCTGCCATGCAGACGTCGACGTTAGCTGTGGGACATCGCCGAGAACTAAACGCGGCACGATTATACGGAGAAGTCAGCGCACGAAGCGCGACAAACTGCGCGACGGCATTCCGACACGCAGCGGCTCGTTTAGACGATATTATATTGCCGACGCGCAGAAAGCGTGGGACGCGTTCGTAGCAGACGCACTCCACAATGAATGGGGCGAGAGCATGCCGATTCCACGGTACGTAACCGCAAGAATACAAGCAAAAATGCCTCATTGCAAACTTTTATGTGCCACGCAGTATTCGCTTTCCGAAGGTGCTAAACTGCTGTTTGGCCGGTCTGGTAGGACATTGTAACGCCAAGACGGGCCATACACATTTGAAGTGTGAAAACACTCAGAAAACTTTTTTCCGTAATATTGAAAAACGTTCACGTAGCATAGTCACTGTGGCACTCTTATGTACCCCTTACGCAGTAGAGAAGGCGAATTAACAGAACATACGATGTAGGCATTTGTGGTAATACTAGCATTCAACAAACCATTGCCACTGCCATTGCCTACAACCATGATTCTACTTCCTTCGTTGCTAACATTGGAGCGAACAAAACTACTACGGAGCGCTACCATACATCAATGTATATATATATAATTTCGTTTGAACTTAAATTAACATTGAAAAGACTATCGGTTTATTAGGCCGTATATCGCGATATATCTGACTATCCATAAAAAGAGGGAAAAGCGGCCAAAAGAGTGTCCACCGGGATTGGCATTATGAGTCACACAGTAAATGGCGGTGCTTTTCTTTAAGAAGGTCGTGATAGTACATATTTATTTGCGTTCGCAAGATGATATCATTCCAAATGCGCTCGTCGACACTGGCTCTCGCTCCTTCACTGGTATGCGATTGACTTCTGCGTTCACCAATGTACTTTAGTTCACACCTCTTCAACAGTGACGTGATATAGGAATATGTAAGTAGGCCAATACGTTGTCCTTAATGCGTTTGCGTCAGTGTTTCATGACTATTTGACCTTTCAGCCAGGAGGATGTGTGCGAGCTCTATCAACAACTGCATTCACGTGGCTCACCAAAGCTGCTCAGTCTATTTGAGGACATTATCGTCAATGTCATATCTGATTTACATATAGCAAAGGGTGAGAAGGAAAGACTTGAACAGCAATATAACAAGTACGTAATTGTTACCTGTGTAGATAAAATTTATGAATTCGGTTTAAAATAATATAATTATATTAATAGCTATTTTGCGCACATGCAGTAGTATATTATTACAAAATATATACTCACTAATAGTCATCAGTTATTTGTTGTTGATGATGTTGTTGTTGTTATTGTTGTTGTTTGTGAGAATCTATTAACAGCTATCATTATGAAATTTTGTACGTTATCTAGAGAGAAGGACCAACACAGCGCTCACCTCCGCACGTTAGAAGATGAGATTGAGTGTCAAGTTCAAAAAACCGAACACAGAATTAAGACAGAAGTATGCATAATATATATGTATAGGTCGTACTGTGACGTGTCAGGTGCTGCCACCCGCATCAACACACCCGCATCAAGCGACGCGTATATTGCGCAGTTTCCCCATGACCGCCCGCATTGCATATTGTGTCTCGCATAAGCACACCCATAATGTTTTCGTCGTTCATACATGTATACACACGCGTGCGCACACGCACCCACGCACCCACGCACATACATACACATATACAAACACTAACCATGTTTGCGCAGACGCATTTTTCATGTCGAGTTTATCGCGCGCAGTAAAGTGCTATGCTAACGTATGGGGTGATGCCGCACGATATGTTTTGTTCTTATCGGCCATACTACGTTATAGACGGTGGCCACACAGACAGTGGAGTATCGCAATGTCTGGTATCTCGCGTGAGTAACGCTGTGCGGCAGCTGGTATTGCCGTACCAGTTGCTAATCTTACCTATATATGTACATAAATAAATAAATAAATATATATATATATATTATATATATATATATATATATATATATATATATATAATATCAAGAGCTAATGATACTCTCTTGATAATATATATACGTCTGGACGATAAATATAAACGAATGACTAAGTTAGATCTTGGTTTGATCGATAGTTTGATAAATGAAGGATACCGAGATAGATAGATAATCGGCGAGATAAATAATTGTAAATAATAAAAGAATTTAGTATGCATTAAACATTTACATGTGAAATAAATATGCAGCACATGCGAATGCGGCCAGCTGGTGCACTGTTTCTATCATCGGCACCAGCATGTTGATTATCTTCTGACATTATCGCATACCCCTTCATTTACCTGCACCCTCATACCTGTATCGGGGTCGCATGAAGTTGCGAACGTGAGATATTGTTGTGAATGACAGTGCGTCCTCAACGACAGGAGATCTTGTTCGGACTTGTAACAGGCAGAATATCTTGTGCGATTGATGCTAACACCACCGGCACTCCATAGGTGAAATCTGGTGAGTGTCAACCAGCAGTTTCCATCGCAACCTGTATAGTAATGAGTCACCTGTGCTAGTCATAATATTTATCCCAGGCTGGCGTAAAGCGGCGCTGTGAAGGCTGCATGCTGCTTACGTGTGCGCAACATTACGTCAGTGCTCTCAGCGTTGTGGTTAATAGTAGAGCTAGTGTGCTGAACACGCGTGACATTCGTTGATTGCATTCAGGTGCGTATTCCGGCAGCGTTCTTGTGCGTATACATGATCATACGTTTAGAAAGAATAGACATTTAACTCGGAGTTTCTACGTGCGAGCGTCGTGCACGCTCGCTCGAGTGTGCGCGTGTGTGCGCAAATATCTGCGTACATATGAGCGCTGGCGTTAGTGTGGAAGAATGTAACGAAAACTACCGTGTTAATTTGTGCACCTTCATCACGCGCACATCGAACGCTCTTTTGAGCCAGTTACCAAATCTATACGGTAACAGTGAATTCATAATGATGCGCACACAGCATTTTTGCAGTCTTGATTTTTTACATCAAAATTAACTCGTACCTTACAGACTAACCCAATGAATTTACGATTATGTTATTGTAGGTAAAAATCTCCGAAAACTGCGTATGTAAGGAATGAGCGTAGAATTTCATTATATTTAGTCTAAATCTAGTACAACGTTTAAACCCGTGCTGCGGGATAACTGTTCGAATGTCACTGTGGAAGAACTGGATCACGTATTGACGTATATAGCTTATACTTGACCTTCGTCACAGCTTCAGAAGATGGATGCCAGCAATAAGGAGCGCCTCCAGCAACTCTTCTCCGTTTGTGATTTAGACGGTTCTGGTTTCATCGACAAGACAGAACTGTCCAGCGTCTGTACGGAATTTGACCAAGATCTCGTAACGAAAGTGTTTGAAGAACTTGATGTCGATGGAGATGGACAGGTATAATTTATTTATTTATATGCTGAGAGTGTATGCGTACGAGCAATCACAACATCCCCTCACACACACAACACACACTCAAAACCAACAAACAAACAAATACACGCGTGAGCGTAGGCATACACATGCACGCACGCGCGCGCACACGTGCACGTCACACAGATACACGCAATCACATGCACGCACACCCATGCCCCTCCCCACACACGTACGCGTACACGAAGGCATATTTTTGCGCGAGCAGATATACCCTCAGAATATATTATATTTACATATAATTAATAAGCAGCAGGCAAGATTTGTGCTTGTAAGTCAATAAGATACTATTAACAGGTAAATACAGCTTTCTGATTAACATGCGCGTCATGGTTTCCGCGCGCAACATGCTTGTATTTGCTCGATCATTATTGGTACTCACTTGTTACGTTAATTAACTCGCCCAATTTTCACGCGGGCGTGTATGAGTCCGGTGCCATAGATCTTTTCTTCTCATTTTGTTGAGTTATCTAAGGGTGATCGAGCGTGTCTATGTAAGAACATGGGTTATTCTTACGATACTCGATATAAACAGTATAACGGTCTATTGTGCTTGCCAAAATCTTAATCAGGGGAAGTTTTAATCAGGGGACTTGTGCGTTAATTAAGTCAGGTGACTGTGCATGCTCGTAATTCTGCACCTTTTTTAAAAATGACCCAATCGAATGGTTTGTAATCACTCGGATGAACCTTAACAAACCGAGAGTTCAGACCAGAGTTCATTTGCTTCCGACGGTTATCGACACTTACTCATCAAAAACTATGCGATCGAGAAATTAATATATTCTCTATAAAGTCTTTTCTAATTTCTTCTTCTAAATTACGTTGACCTGTTTTTCAGGACCCATTTTCAGAAACATCACCGATAGTTATAGTTAGCTATAGTCATCATAATTAGCTATGCCTATCATAAGTCTAAAAATGTGTTAACTCTTGGAATGAAGTGTTGTGCAAAGATATGCCATGTTAGAATTTTGATAGACAACATGATGTTTCAGACAACATGCTCCTGTATTCCTTTACCCATACATTATATATATATAAGCTGCTGCTGCCGCTGCCGTACTGCTGCTGGGCGTTTCTCCTTAATAGTGCACAGGACTTTCATCACGTTCTGGGAAACTTCACTATCATGACGTTCTACCAGGCATTCAACACATTCCGTGATAACATCGAGGCGGTCATTCTAGTGAAACCATATTTACGTTAGGTGGCAGTACTGCACACCAGGCAACATTGATTTTCAGCGGGTAATATTGGTTTTTATCTCGTTACCTCCGCCAGGGGCTTGGCGGGGGTTATGTTTTCACCGGCGTGTGTTTGAGTGTTGGTTTGTGTGTTTGTGGGTTTGTGGGTTTGTTAGCATGCACGTTTCAGTTCACTTCCGCTAGGTGCGCTGGCTGTAGACTTACAAACACGCAACCACAGGCTAAAGGGCAACCACAGCCTCCCCCACCTGCACGCTCGCACTAATCCGGATCCAATTAATTATTTAATAAATAAATAAGTTTATTAATTTTTCCACTTAATTAATTAATTAATTAATAAAAAAATTCACATTGAGAGAATTCAGCTGCCTTGGCGGAGGTCTGTGCTCTCCAAGTGCTTTAGTTATTTATTTTATAGGCGGCATTTTTCTCAGCCATATAATAATTACCTCTGCCAAGGAGGTAATGTAATCGGTCTCGTGTGTGTGTTCGTGTGTGTGTGTGTCCAGTCAGCGCGGCGCGATTGATAGCCTGTCGAGTCAGCGAGCGGGGAGTCAGCAGCAGGCGAGTGAGTCAGCAGCAACCACCAGCGAGCGGCGAGTCAGCAGCCGCCACCAGCGAGCGGCGAGTCAGCAGCAGGCGAGTCAGTCAGCAGCAACCACCAGCGAGCGGCGAGTCAGCAGCCGCCACCAGCGAGCGGCGAGTCAGCAGCAGGCGAGTCAGTCAGCAGCAGCCAGCAGCGAGCGGCGAGCCAGCAGCCGCCACCAGCGAGCGGCGAGTCAGCAGCAGGCGAGTCAGTCAGCAGCAGCCAGCAGCGAGCGGCGAGCCAGCAGCCGCCACCAGCGAGCGGCGAGTCAGCAGCAGGCGAGTCAGTCAGCAGCAGCCAGCAGCGAGCGGCGAGCCAGCAGCCGCCACCAGCGAGCGGCGAGTCAGCAGCAGGCGAGTCAGTCAGCAGCAGCCAGCAGCGAGCGGCGAGCCAGCAGCCGCCACCAGCGAGCGGCGAGTCAG